TTGATTAGAGAGCAACTAAATTAAACTAAGTGATCGCAAAAGAAAGCAGCTAAGAGTAAATAAGAGAGAGAGAAGAGTCGTGGGGTTTAGAGATTACCACCAAGCAATGCATTTCTATACCATTGACAAGTGACTAATGAAGGCAAATGGTGTGTTGCAATATTGGTGTGTGTGTGTGTGTTTGGTTGATTCAACAAGTAAGGATGACTAGTTAAACATGTATGGTCTAAATATCATGTGAAAGATACAATATATCTAAGCAATGAAGCATATATTGTCTAAACAACATGTGAAAGGTACAATAGATCAAAACAAGTCATTAATCCTTTCATTAAGCTCACAATCCGAATATAACACAAGGTTAGAGACATATGTTACTTGCATTCAAAAGCTTGGATCATCAAACAACAAGCATGGATTGTCCTCCCATTTAACACTACACTACAACTACACTACTAGCATGAAAATAAACTAGGGGAGAGGCACAATCCATCAAGGAATAAGTATGAACCATCAAGAGAATCACAAGAGCATTCCATTAAGCACTATGTTTTGACAATCTCTAAATCTATAGCATCAATACACATAGATATGCATCAATAACACAAAATCTAGAGACAAGCACATGAATATCTATTCTAGCATACATAGACATATGGATAGAATGAAATGATCAATTGAAAGCATTTAACCACATAAATCATTGAACAATCAAGATCTATATATATCGAAGTATCAAAATATTAATTACAACACTAATCCCTCAATAATACACAAGATTAAGATATAGAAAGCATGCTTAGGGCTAACTCTAGCCCCAAGAGGATGTCTAGCCACTCATGGTTATGTTGCTCCAACCCTCAAGGGCTAACTCCATGGAAGAAAACTGCTCCTTGTTGATGAAGAACTCCAATGGTGTCTCTAGCCTCCTCCTCCTCTAAGCTTGCTCTCCAAGAGATGATATGAAAAATGATATTAGCTCCCCTTGTAAAAAGCAATCCTTATCCTTATATAGGTAGGTCAAATGATACCCAAAATGAGCTGGGGTCGTGCACACAATATTCCCTAAAGATTGGATAAAAGTCAACTTTCAATGAGATGGAAATTTAACTTTTTCGCACTAGAGGAAGTTCGATCGATCAAACCTTGGACTTGGATCGATCGAACTGGCTGAGATCCATCGAACTTAAGTTGAATCGATCTAACTGGTTGAGTTTTTTGGGAAAAGACAAATCCGAGATATTTTGGGAGATATTTTTGGGAAAAAGACAAAAGTGGTTAGTAGGTGGTACAGCTGTGGATAGGATCAATCATTTGAATAAGGACAAAAGTGTTCGATCGATCGAAGGGTGGTGTTCGATCGATCGAAGGGTGGTGTTGGATCGATCGAATTTTGGACTTTTTGTTTTTGGGCCAAGGCTTGGATCTATCTTGAAGTGCTGAGATCGATCAGTGTTTGATCGATCGAACCTTGAAATTGGATCGATCGAACTTTACTACTTTCCACCTTTGGCTTCATTTGCTTCCTTCTTTCTCCACTTTGCTCCTTTCTTTGTTTAATCCCATAATTGCTTCAATTAAGCTCTTATTTGGCTGAGTTAGCTTATTTTAGGGATAAGTGCCTGAAAATGGAAATAATACAAAATTAATCTAAAACGGTAAAGTAAGATAGATAAAGGTACTAGAATGTCTAAGTTTAAGGGGTTTAAATACGCACTTTTCAGCGCTCATCAATATACACGATGATATGTACGTTGATGCACAATTTGCTGATTTTGGAAACTTGGGATGTCGTCTGTTTCGAATATGATTAGAGTATAGCTCAAGGGTGGGAGATTAGCTCTCCCCACACGTGCGCACTAGGGTAGTTCTAAGCGGGCTAGTAACCCGAATGAAACTGTTATTGTTCGGTTAAAATCCGACGTGATGTCTAAGTTTTCCACTATTAGATTTCGCATTTTAAATTCCAAATTGATAACTTTGTGAGTTTAAATCTTATTGCGTTGTGTTGGAAGTTCCAATGCCAGCTAAATATTATGGATATTGTGATTTGTGTTTTATTGTTCTAATGTAGCCTAAGATGATCCCTTAGACTCATTTGGAACATAGATGTTAGGTGGCATGTACCACATAGATTGATTTATATTAATTTGCAAAGTTTGTAAAACTTTAGGTTATACGCATATCCACTTTTTACGAGTAACTCGTTTACTCACCCTAGTGATTTAGGTTGTTTTTCAGGTAAAGAAACGTTGTTTTGGGATGCATCACATCCCTGGATCATTTTGAATGCTTGGAATATTTTGTAGTACTTTGTTCATGCCCTTGTTAGTATGAAATGCCTTACTTTTGGTTTTATATGTCAAAACATGTATACTTTGTTTTAAATATGTAATGTGTACATAAGTTCACCTTTTGAGATGTATTTGACATGTTTGTAATAAGGCCAAGGGTTTGAGTACTTTGGATTCCATGTATAACTAAGTAAAATAGAGAAATTAGACGCTTTAGGATGATACTCCCTCTATCCTAAAAGAGATGTCTTGTTTGGGGAACCGTGACTCACAAATTAGTTCCCCAAACAGGACATCTAATTTGGGATGAAGGTAGTATCTTTTATTTGGGATGTGTAAAGTGTGCAATAGCACACCCTTAGGGTCTCTTTATATATGTATGAAGTGTGGCCAAGTGTCAAACTGTCTTTTGAAAGCATCCATGGGTTTTGGTTTCAAACTTTTGTTTTAAAAGTCAATTTAGGCAAATTTGAGGTTTAATAGGTCATTTTATGCTTGGGGAATATTTGGGGGCCGTAGACCATTCCCGCACGTCTCAAAACACTTATTGCGTTTGCGTGCACAAATTTTTTAGCACACAGTATCATATTTGTCGAAATGAATACTTGAAGCAAAATTGCATTTTTTTTTTTTTTTTTTTGACATAGTCAGCTAGAAAACTTGATTTTAAGGGAGGTTTCTTCTTTGTATTTTTTCAAAAAAATCCATTTAAGGGTCCAAAATAGTACACTATTTGCAAAAACACTATTCAGTGCTGTTCAGTCCTTGCCGTGCATGGGGGGCTGCCTTGGTGCCCCTTGGCCGCGTCAACGTCCTTTTTTTGTTCTGCTATTTCTCTTCCATCTAGACTCCAAATCAAGTGATTTTTGAGTTTAATTCGTTAATTTTTCGTTGTCTATCCAATGGTATGCACGGTTGCACCTCGATCTTTTTTAAAATGACTATTTTGCCCCTAGGACTAAACTTGTCCTTTTTAAAACGTCACTCCATACTTTGTCTTTTTGAGTTCTGTGACTTCATGTGAAGTCATGCTTTTGTCTTAGGGATGACGTACATCTCTCGAGACTTTATTTCCGTATGAAAAGACCATTTTGCCCTTGGGGGGTATACTTGGTCTATTTTTGAGTTTTTTCTTCCGAGTCTGTTCTCGTTGAGTTCCGTGGCCTCATGGAAGGTCACTTTTTGTGTTTTAGAGATGTATTGTATCTCTAGAAGCTTAGTTTCTATTTTCGCTTTCGCATTCGGGATCCGTTATCGAGTCAAACTTTCATTCATCGCAGGACGCGCTGGTTTGAAAAACCAGGGCCATCATAGGTGTTGTAGCAAAATTGATTTCATTCAAGGCATATTAGCATGAAATACTCCTATTCGATCTAGGGGTGCAACTTGGGTGGGCCAATCAAGCTCAGCCCAATTTTTTTGGAACTTGGGCTTTTAAATTAATAAATCAGGACTAAATCCAGTTGGAATTTTTCAAAGCGCAAACGTCTTCGGGTTGGGCTCGGGCTCGACCCGAACCCAACCCAAAACCCAAAATTTTAAAAAATTTCCGGGTTTTTTTTTTTTTTTTTTTTTGGGCATCCAAATCTTTGATATATATGTATCTATTTATGTGAAGTGTCTGTATCATTTACTGAAAACCCTAATTGGTCATTGATATATATTTGTGATTGGAGAGGGAGATAACCCAAATGCAAACAGGTATCAAGCAATCGCCAACTCGAATAATTTTAAAATAAAAATTTATTTAATAACAAATAAAAAGAATATTTTATTTTATTTTTATATTTAAAATAAAATAAGGTAAGTTTTATTTTTTTGTATTAATAAAAATAAAATTAGAGTTGAAAAAATACAAAAATTAATAATTGAATACTTCAGTCACAATACTAATAGTCTGATCAGATTAAAAGAAATTATTAATGAATTAAAATTTTGTGAAAAAATTGATGTTTCAAACAGGGAAAATAAAGAAATGTATTTTGCATATTTATTGGTAAGGGGAAAAAAATAAAAAAAGAAAAAAAAAAGTGGGTTTAATGGGTCAGCCCGTCCAAAGCCCAACATTATAGTGTATTTTGGCCCTGCCAACTGTTCAGTGGATATAGAATCCTCCATCCTACTCTAGATAACTGCAGAAGACTCCATAAATTTATCTCATCATGAAGCGTCCTACTCAGTACTTACGTGTTGCTTGCGTGGCATAAGCTCCATCGGCGGGGCGTGATAATAAGCTACCAAAATCATAAGTTACCAAACTGGAAAGTAAGCTAGCAATCTGGTTGCTCAAAAATTATGCGAGAATTTATGAAATACACTATATGTTTATGCCAAGCTTATAACACAGGCTAAAAAATCTAACCACCATCACATGTCTCAGCCTTCAATTTGTTTGTTATTTCAAACGAGTGTCAAACAAGCACCATCTGATGGGGCTACTCTATAAGAATTGTCACTGCACTACCAGGGCCTGAGTTGACCATATTTGAAACAACAGCAGACAAGGAAAGCTAAAAAAATAACAAAACAGAAGTATATATATATATATGTGTGTGTGTGTGTAAGAAATAACAAATTCATCATATAATCATTCAAGCAATGCTGAAAGAACATGACACTTCCATTTCTTTAAAAACTGAAACATGCATATTCTGAATTGTATTTGAGAAAATAAAATCTATTTACATAAAAAAAAAAAATAGATATCTAATTCTTTTTTATACACCTCTGACTGGCATCATATATGGCATCCTCCCTCATTCTCAACAGTTCACGAAGGCGTTGGTAGTATTCCATCTCAATACCATTAAGCTTCAGCTTCAACCGATCATCGTCTGCTTCAGATGGTGAAAAGAGACTTAACAAACTCATCTCCTTAGACAGTGCACTGGATGAAGCAGCAGAGGGTATCTCTGAATCCTTCATTGGTTGACTCGATATGACATTCCCCCGAACACTACCTTTTTTGTGTTGATCAGTATTTTCATCATCGGATCTCAAAACAGACAAACTTTGTGAGTTTTGATCATGTTGAAGTACAGCAGAATTCCCGTATGAATCTGTTAATCCATTTCCTGATGAATTTTTCCAGTTGGGTACAAGTTTGTCAATCAACCTGTCCATTAACTTCACTAATGATGGCTTATCATCCTTCGACAAAAAATTGAGTTGTTCAACCATCTCACCAGCTATTGAGGGTACAGTATCAGTATCAAGATCAAACTTAAACTCAATTGTGTTCACCTGACCACACAAGTTAGCAACACGCAAGGTCAATGAAACAGAGATATCATCAACTTTCTCACCTCTTATCCGAACCACTGAAACTCTGGAGCTGAAAGGTTTGTTGCTAGTGTCTATGTCCGTCGGAATAGAACCGGACTTTGGCACCTTTATTGGTACAAGAGGATCACAAATAAGCCCCTTTCAATTTGGAGACGAAAGGAAGGGATCTTTCAACAGCTCTGCCGCGGACAAACCCAGTGATGTTGGAACCAAACACTTTTCTATAAACAGCCTCACTTGGGGATCATTCACCCTCTCAAGAGCAGTTGGCTTCATCAATCCAGACATAACCTTATATATTTGTGCTTGACTTTTGCATTCACCATATAGGTTTTCACAAGAAACCAACTCTAGCATGCACATTCCAAAGGAATGTATATCAAACAGTTGGTAAACCAATTCAGGAGTGCCAACACCACTACTTGGAGAATGCATAACAGAAGCCAACGCAAGACCCCCAATTTTTAACTCTGCACTATTGCCATTCACAAAAAAATTCTCACACTCGAGATCTTCATGAATAATGGTGTGACTGTGGAGATAGTGTAGACCTCGGAGATCAGACCTTGCATCGTGTTCAACAAGATTTCTATTGGCCAAATATGCGCGAATTTCTTGTGATGCCTTTCGGCCTCACAAATGCCCCATCAACATTTCAGAGCCTCATGAACGAGGTCTTTCGTCCGTTCCGACAATGTTTTCATGTTTCAATGACTGAAGAAGGTGAGCCTTGCTGCTCTGCATAATGTTGCCTCACTTGGCTCCAAGCAACTTCTACTCCATTAATTGATTAATTGAATGCTCCTCTCCAACAACTCAGTCAAACCTTCCTTGGAGTTAAATAATCAATCCCAAATCACAAAACAACAATTTCGATACAAACCCACAAAAGGAAAATCTATTCAGAAAAGGCCTCAGAAACAACCAAATAAGAATCAATAGCCGATTCAAACAAAACCGGACGACACCTAATAAAAATCACACTAATCCCTTCAAAAACCATCGGTTATATCCGTATACCGGGTGTGCATATATATATATAAAGATAGATTTTAAACAGGAAGAAAATAAAATCTGGAAAAAAGATGTATAGAAAGAGAAAATACAAAACCCTAGAAGTCTTCTTCTTCTTCTTCTTTGGATGCAAAGAGAGGCAGTGATCAAACAGATTGAAAACTATGAACCCTAATTTTTGATGTAGTAATATAAAAAAACGCGTGTATATATATGTATAGCAAAAGAAGAGATCAAATAGGTGTTTAAGTTGTGTAGTTGATAACTACAACTCCTATTGTGGAACTATCTGGAAAATACAGAGTATTAGTTGATAACTAGAACTCCTATTGTGGTCCCGCCACTACTATCTGGTAATTGGTTGTGGCAATGGGTCGGGTTGGTTGAATCATATGAGCTCAAACTCGATCCAATACCGACCAATTAGAATAACATGGGCCCTATATTTAATTTATTTACCGAACCCGTGGAAATGGTATCATGGTATCAACCGGAACCCAACCAACTCGTTTGTTTAGTTTTTTTCGTATTTTTGGAATTTTTTTTTTAAACCATTTATAATGATTTAATTAACATGTTACAACACTATTAAGTATTAATGTAAAACAATGAGTAAGGAAAATATTAGAAATATATTACAAATTTACAATTTATTAAAATTGGAGGAAAAATAGCTCTCATCAATTATTAAACACTCAAAGGTTGTATCTAGGGGTGACAAAATGGGTCAGGAACTATTAACCCGTCCATATTCGTCCGCTTTTTAATGGTTATGGATGAACTATATTTAATTGAGGGTCAAGATGGGTTGGGTAATTTTTAACCATTTAATTTGAGGGTCAAAATGGGTTGAATATGGTTAACCACATTCAACCCATATTTCACCCATCACATAATAAACACACAACACACATCTATTCCATATTCTACTCAACTCATTTCTCTCTCTAAAATTCTCTCACCCACAATCCCCTCTCTCTAAATTTGTCTCTCTAAAAATTTCTTCTAAAAAAATAAATAATTAAAAATAATTTTAAAAAATTAAATAATAATTTTAAATAATTAAAAAACTAATAAATTTAAAAATAAAAAAATTTAAAACCTTCCAAAAAAATAATTTAAAAATAAAAATAATTAATTTTTTTTTTAAATTATAAAAATTTTAAAAAATTAAAAAAATTTAAAAAATAATAAAAATTTAAAATAAATAAAAAAATTTAAAAATAAATTTAAAAAATTAAATAATTTTTTTAATTTACTTGGCTCCTGAGCGTGACCGTGATCCCAATTAAGTAGGACTAATAATTTCAGACAGATTAAAAATTAGTCCCATAGTTCACAGTAATTAGGGCTCTGCATATATAAAAATGACATTTGTTCATTACAGGAACATATATATATATATATGTATGTATGTATGTATGTATGACTCTGCATACATATATCATACAATATACAGTAATAGTTTATGGAATAGAAAAACATAAAAGGAGTTTATTCGTATAGGGCGGAGGGAGTGGTGACAAACGCCGTTGTGTCTTTGTGACATTGATTGGGGCGACCAAGAGTGAGAAAATGAACGAAAATTTCTAAAATATTCTTTTCATTTTAAATTTCTAAAAATATTCTTCACTTTCCTTTTTTCTTTTTTTTAATCCTCTTTTAATATTTTCACTTGATTTAGTTATAATTTTCTTAACAAAATTATTAAATTTGGGCGTGTTTAGTAAAACTGGTACTATTATTTCTGTCAAAACTAAAACATGCTTGGTAATTTTAAATGTGAAAATAAAGCTAAAACAATTATTTGGATATGGAAGGCTCAAGTATTTTCCTTCTGACTTAACTTCTTTCTCTTTTTTTTTTTTTATTTTAAATAAGGTTACGTCTAATAATTTAGTAATGGTCATATTCTGTTTTTTCAGGAAAAAAATTTCACAAATTGCAAAATATGACTGTTAAATAATACCTTCCTTTCTTTCTCCGCTATTCTCTCTCCAGACACATTTTTCACTCCAACTCCCTGTGCCTCACAAATTACAACCAAAGTGGGTTCAGTCAAATATATATATAGCTATATAACTCAATGGGAGATAGATATATAATATTTGCACTTGAAAAAAAACAACTCTCAACCACAGATTTATTTTGTTAGATCCGTTTGTATGAATTAAAAATTTTTAAAAAATAATAAATAATAAAAAAATTTAAAAATAATTAAAAATTTAAAAATTTAAAAAATATAAAATAATTAAAAATAATAATTAATGGATCCACATGTCATAATGGGTTGACTCGCCTATTTTTAACCCTTTTTAAACGGGTTGAATATGGATCTTGACCCATATTGACCCGTCCAAATTCAACCCAATCCAAATTCAACCCAACTCGTTCATTTTTAACCCAACCCAAATCCAACCCAACCCGTCCATTTGCCACCCTAGTTGTATCCCATAAAAATTCGTGTGTCTGTTTTAGTTTAATAAAAATAAAGTTAAAAATTAGTAAGAAAAAAATTCATTGTCTTCCATTTCTCAAATAAAGGTAGTTCAAAACATTCTAGAAATTCGACACTACAATTTGTCAACACCAAAATTAAGTGGCATGAATCATTGACCTAACATCCATCAACACCATTCTTCCGATCTTCCACCTAGCAAGGAAAATTACTAACAGTATAAACTTTTTGGAAATAAAATCATTCAAACACGGACAATTAATTCTGTTGCTAGAACAAAGAACAGAACCAAAAAGTAGAATAGTTAAGACAATAGCTATTATCCTTCCACAACATGTAGATATTATTCGCTTTGCATACTTTTTTTTCACTATTTTACTTGAAACGCATCTATATAGTTAGGATGTCCACGCACACACAAATATCAATCACTTTTTCTCCAGATCTTGGACGCCACAATAAATTGCATTAACAAATAGTATCAATTTGGTGCAAACTTACAGTCCAAACACTTGGCCAAATTTCCAACTCCTGCTAGTTTGAACACTTCAAAATAATATTAGCTTTAGAAGCAAAGAGTCCTCACACCACTCCATGTATTCCTGTACCTAGAGTGTGCATTCTCCACTATCAAAGCTTTAAATTTCTGCATTTGAACCACAAAATCATGAACTTTGAAGCTTTTCAAACACATCACAAGGACTCAAAAACAAAGATTACAACTCAATTATATTTTGAACACCAAATATTCCAACACAGTATAGTTTTTAACCATATATTTTCTAAATACAGTAGGAAAAAAAGAGAAGATAGCAGACACAGGCAAAGTCTGCTCCAACATTTCACCAACAGTCTCCCATCCAAATGATTGGTGCATTTTCAACAAAAAGTGGGGAATCAATCTTTGACCTGGCATCCATCAACACCATTCTTTCAATAAGCACACCATCTCCTTGTGGGATAGAGCATATACAGGCAAGTTGAATGAATCACTTGTGCTTCACTGACTAATTTCTTCAACTCACATCATTTACGCATCAAAACAAGAAATAGTTTGGCTTTAATAGTGTTTGTCGACTCCAGCACACAAGATAACTCTGCAGTTTTTTTAAAAGCCTGCTCAAACATTTTATCAACTATATCATGTCCAAAGTGTTTGGTGAAAATCCCTTCCATGCTAGCTCGTAGGTGCAGTATCAATGTCTGCCCATCAACTGGGGCATTAATCTTGGAACTGTGCTCCATCAACTCCATTCTCTGAATACTGAAACGCCCATCTTTTTCAACCAGCTGCGCCATCTCCTTGGGGGTGGGAAAATACATTGGCAAGTTGAATGAATCCACTTGATCATCACACACTAATCCCTGTAATAAAGGTTTGCGTTATCGGGTTACACAGAAGATCTGACACAAGGTTCAAATGTAACAGACTCATCAAAGTTGACAAGATAAAGGATGATATGTGTAATAGTAATGATAGGGAGTCTAACAGTTGAGCAAATCCTACTAATTTTATGAGTATGTGCTGATGTCATCATGACGTCAAGAATATTAATGACATCAGCCCCCACTCCCATAAATCAGCCGGAGTTGTCTGACTATTGGACTCCAAATCATTATCCTAAACGGAATACAAACTGCAGCTAAATTAATGCAGCTAGTATAGTTCGAACAAGTTTTTCTGGTCATAAAATTGAATTTAAATGTGATTGTATCGCCTGATAGTTTTCAACTAGTAAGTTTCATTGCTTTTCTGGCACTAATTTGAATAGCTGAACATTGACTTACCTCATTGACCATATACATGAGGCAGGATCCAAGAAAATCAAGTGTGAGACCTGATAAGAGCTGAGAATGATGGATATCATTCGGGAGACCTGGCATGATAAGTACCATCATCCCTCCAATTACAGTCTCTTTAGCTCTAGCATTCAGAAAGATCTCCATGTCTTTTGCAAATTGAGCTCCATAGCTCTTGGCAACTTCTTCAGAGGCCCTTGTGTAGTGAATGTTACCCTTGTTCCACGCAGGAGAGTTTTTGTCCAGCAATTCTTCAGGAACCTTAGAGAGCCAGTGGAGCGCATAACAGGAAAACAAAAAATGGAGAGAGGAGTCGGGGAATAACCGGCCATAGAAAGAACCTGGCACTCCTGCAGCAAAGTATTGCCTATCAAATGGGAGAGAAGCGAAAAGGGTATTGAAATCATTGGAAGCGTGATCATTGAAGAACACTTGGAATTCGAGCATTTTAGGTGCGAGGCCTTGGGAATGGTACTTCTTTTCCATGGCTTGCAGTACGTTTTGCATAGCAAAGAAGGTATTTGGCCCGACTGAACATCCCAAATCTGCTACGCGCAATGTGCTTGAAGTAGAAGTGAGGCTTTTTATGTCAAGCTTCTCTGATATTGCTTCATTGATCAATTCCTTCGTAGAATCTGAACCTTCTCTCTGTAAAATAGGCCAGTCATTGCTATCATAGCACTGATATCAACAATAACAAGTCCTGTCTATGCTTGTCATAGTAAAAAACTCGATTCAACTTAGAAAGAGTGTCAAATAGAGTTATATTCATGACTAGATCTGTCATAGTGAATAGTTTTAGTACTATAGCCCAAATATAATACAAGTGAACTAACACAAACAAGGTGAGGTAAACATGTGATGAATGGGGTTCTAAGCTAATGATGGACGAACTAATAGAATATTGAGCTCTCTTTGTACTCTAGTTTTTGAAATATGCAATTCATATTAAGAAATGTGGTTCTGGCAAAATTACTACCATAGAGCACATTCAGAGAAAAACAGAGCACCAATGATACCTCCCATTTGAAAAAAATTGAATAAGCTAAAAAATTTTGCTCTCATAAAAGCATGAAATACCTGTGCAAAACACAAAACAACCGACTATGTTCAACATATTTAATTGGGTGCTTACCTAGCAAGAATATTTTCATAATTTAAGTTTATGGTATGATTATACATAAAACTCTTATTTTTTTTCTCTCACATTATGGTATGTACTTAGATTTTTGTATTTAGGGTTACACTATAAAGTTTGTGTTATAGGGTTACACTAAGGATTTGATGCAACTGTGGTTCAAATTAATGCAACCCACCCCGTGCAGATATTGTCCATTTTTCCCTGGTAGAGGAGAAGTTGTCTTTAGTTATGTGTGGATGCCTTTTAAATATGTAGACGTGTTTTAAAAACCGTGAATACGAAGAATGTGCAAAACGGACAAAATCTACATAGCGTGAGGTAGGTCATCACATTTTGGGATGTAAGTATTTTGGTGCATTTGTGCAACAAGCAAGATTGAATAGTAACCAATGGTTATTACTCTAAAGGAGAGGTTGAATATTTGAGTTTGCCAGAGGCAATATTGTGAGTATGCTTGTGTGCGTGTACTTGAACTTTCGGAAAGATTATATATATATATATATATAGAGTATAGTATATAAGAAATTTTTTGGGCGCCTTTAACTTGAATAAGAATAGTTGGTTTCCTTTTTGGCTTTAATTTGTATAGCTGATTGTGGGGACTCACCATATTGACCAAATCCATGAGGCAGGAACTGAGAAAATCATATGGCTCACCAAGGAAGAGCTTAGAATGATGGATGTCATCTGGGAAACCCATAATGATGACTACCATCATAGCTCCAACAATCATCTCTTTAGCTCTGGCACCCAGAAAGATCTCCATGTCCTTTGCATATTAATCTTGCATCTTCTTAATTTGTAAATTCTAATTTATTAAATATTTGTGTAAATTAATTTCTGAAAAAATATTTATGTCAATTTAAATTTTCTCTAACTAATTATTTAATAATTTTACATAGTTTAGTACCATCCTGTCAAAATTAATTATAATCGTTACCACCATTGGTTTTAAAGTAGGTACTTGACATCCATCAATATAAGCAGCTACTCAGATCAAAACTTTCGTATTATTTAAACATTAGTCAAAACTATTAATCTAAATTTAATGTATGCTTCTTAAATCTTAAGTCGATATAAATCTCCTTCAATCTAAAGGAAGCCTAAAACTTAATCAGAGAGTTGAATACCTATTCAGGCAAAATAGCAACATGTTGTCTATAGATATAATACAGGGTAAAGTACATTAAACCCCCTCAACTATACCTCAAATGCAACTAACCCCTCAACTACCAAAAAACTCTCTCAACCCTGAAGTTGGTTAAGTTTTAGGACAGAGGAGGTTTTTGCGATCCATTGCTGTTGATGGAAAAGTTAAATGACTCTTTTGCCCCTTTAATAAAACTACCTCGTTTTATATGCTATCTAATGAGAGTTGTTCACGTGGCTAACATAATCTCCATTCCTAATAAATAATTGACAACTCATCCTATCACTCCATTTCACACTTTAATAACCAATAAATTAAAAGGTAAATATAATCATGAAAATAGTTTTCAAGGTGGACTCTGTTTTCTTCTTGCTGTTGTAATTGACCTTTGGTGATAAGCTTCAATGTTGATAAAATTATGATTGTTTTCCTCTACCAAACACCGTCAAACCCAATTGAAACCACAAACCCACACACCACAAACCATCAAACCCAATTGAAACCAACCCACTGCCACAACCACCGTTATCGTCGATCTCAGATGCAGTTTGATAAGAGTATTGATCTGTGGGGTTGACATCGTTTTATTTTTCCCATTTGCAGTTTGAATAGAGATGCTATACACTCTTATATTGAAGGAACACCACCACAGATCGATGAAGGAGGAAGGGCAATGAGTGAATTAGGGGAACTTATGCGTTAGGGCTTTTTTGGTTAGTAACAGTCTTTCAATGGCACATTTGATTAGGGTTGTATAGTCATTTAGATGAATATGGGCTCTCACGTGCAAGGCAGGTGTTAAAAACTGATTGACCGATCGTCGGATTAGGTAAACTGCAACCAAACAACATAGTTTGGGGAGGTTTTCTGTTACTTTAGAAATTCAGGGAGGTTTTGTGCTCATTGGATATAGTTGAGGTAGGGTTTATTGCACTTTATCCTATAATATATATCTATACACACACATATTAAACATGTAATTTACTTACTTGATAAATGGAGTTATTGGAGTAGCTGTAAGTGCCATCACCACTAGTCATCGGATATGATTCCGGCCTGGCTGCAGTTTTGGTGTTGCTCATCTCTCTCTCTCTCTCTCTCTCCTCTGAAGCTGAAATGAGAATTCAGAGCCCTTAACTTAATATAGACAAATTTATTTTATTTTATTGCCCTTAACTTAATATAGACAATTTTCTTTTATTTTTATTTTTATTTTTATTTTTTTGGTAAAATATTTACACATTGTTTATTTGCATTATTAGACGGGAAGGTGAGTAGGTTTTGATTAGTCTCATTTGGATGCTGCTTTTCATTTTGTCCAAATATTCGCTTCTGTGAATATTTTTTCTTATTATTATTGACTTATTGCTTTCCCAGAAGACAAAAAGCTAAAGACAAATGCGTCCATTTAGAATGGAAAGATTGACTAGAATTTTTATTATTTATTATTTTTTATTTTTAGCACTGATACTACAACAGAATACTTTTAGTGAATTACATAATAGAATGTTCTAATTAAAAGGGTAGATTTAATAATTCACTACAATTATTCTAGGTCTATAAATTAATATTTATTTTTTATTTTTTTGAGCATTCTATTCAAAATAACTATTTATTAGGATTTTTTTTTTTTTTTAAATTGTTAGCAATGACTTTGAATATCCTATGCACTTCGTTTGGTCACTCACTGTAGCGGTATCAGACCTTACTTTTCAAAGAGATGTGAGATTTCAAGTCTCAACGAAGATGTGTGTGTGTAAATACCAACTAAAAAAAAGAGATAAATAACAATTGGAGTCAATTCCAACTATGGGGTTTGCATTAATTAATTGTTTCAGTTTGACACCTTCCATTTGAAAAAAAATTAAATAAGCTAAAAAAATTTGCTCTCATGAGCGCATGAAATACCTGTGCAAAACACAAAACAACCGACTATGTTCAACATATTTAATTGGGTGCTTACCTAGCAAGAATATTTTTCATAATTCAAGTTTATGGTATGATTATACATAAAACTCTTATTTTTTTCTCTCACATTATGGTATGTTCTTCGATTTTTGTATTTAGATGCACATACATGTCCTACCCGATTTCATATAACATAGGCTTTAACATAACATAGGGCCAACAAATTGCCCTTTATTTAACTTCATATTGAGTGAACTAAAAACATGGGGAAGTTATTATGGTTTAATAAGTTAATACACGGATTGCCCTAATAGTCCCATTTCGATATTTTAAAATTACTAAGCTTTCTTTTCAATCTCGAATACATATATTATCAAGTTAGAAATTTTAAAAACTTAATTTACCGAAAAAAAAAAAATACATTTATCTTATTTGACTTTTTAAATGAGACAAGTATTTTGAAATAACACAAAGAACTAAATTGATACAGAGGAGTAACAATTATGATATTAGAGGTCACAGAGAACAAAGAAGTCACATACTCCAGGATTTTTATTTTTTTATCTTTTTTTGTGAATATCTAACTTTTTATGGAGCATACTAGGGGTGCATATGGTCCGGTTTGGACCGGATTGGGAGTATTTTGGGACCAAACCATTTATAACGGTTCCACTATTTTTGAAATTAGATCAAACCATAATGTCCATGGAACTAAACCAAACCAAACCGTGAAAAACCGGTTTGGTTTAATTAGGTTTGTCGTTTCAATTGATTTTATTTTTATTTTATTTTAATTTAGAGGGGCCAAAGTTTTAAAAAAAAAAAAAAATTTAAGAAGAAATAAATGAAAGAAAATTGACATATATTTGAAAGGAAAAAAAATTGAAATATATTTGAAAAGGGAAATTTGACTTTTTTTTTTTAAAAGAAATTTAAGAAATTTAAAGAACAAAAGAAAGAAAGGGAGCACGTGAGAACTTTACTTGATTTATATATATATATATATATATATATATATATATATATATATATATATATAACATAGTAACAATTCGGTCCGGTCCAGCACGACCCTAAACTAGGACCGGACTGAAAAATTACGATTCCATAAATTTGGGCTCTGGACCGGACCAAACCACTATACAACTAGCTTAAATCGCCTAATTCAGTATGATCCGGTCCGATTTTTTAATTTACCGGATTTTTTTAACACCCCTAGAGCATACTGGCAGGGGCATAACCATATATATTATGTCAAAGGGGGGAACTAAAAACTTTCAAAATTCTTATTTATGGCTCCCAAAAAATAGTGAATGTAATAAACCTAACTTATGGTCCACCAAAACATAGAAAATTATAATTGCCCCCCTAAAATTTTTCAAAACACTTATTAAATGGCTCCACAAACACCGAGTTTAGAAATTAAAAAAACTTGTATCCACTAAAACGTAATAGAAAATTTCAATTTGGATCTTTGTAGCCTTAATTTTAAAAGCCAGATCTTGTATTAAAAAAAATACATAAGTTCATTATTATTGTATTCCTTATGGCAACATGTCAATACTTCATTTATAATTACATCCATACATATATAAGAGCATCTCCAATAGTACGTTAAAAAACTATTATGTGTAAAATATACACTGTCATATATGATTTGTAATTTTTTTTCATCTCCAGCAATCTGTTAAGATATACTGCCACATCACCAATGTGTAAAAAGATTGTGTATTTTACACCGCCCTTTTACACAGCCACGTAAGCATATTTTCTCTTTCCTCCCCCTTTTCCACTTGCGGTTCTCTTTCTTCTCTCTCAATCCTTTACGCCTCTTTGTTTCCCACTTTTCTAGAGCACTATAGAGAAGAATCTACAACTTGCAACAAAGTAAGAACTACTCGACCATCTTTTATTTTATTTTTATTTTTTTTAATAAACATAGTTTGATTTATCACTTTCGTTTGATCTTATCTTCTGCAATTATCGCCGTAGATTCTAAGGTTTTTTTTAGATTTTTTTATCATTTTACATTTTATTCTAATAAGATAAATATGTACTAGCTAGCCAAAAATGAGATATATATTTTAACCATGTTTTTATATAATTGTTAATATAAAACCTTTGATTATGTAGTTTCTACATACTTGAATCTTATTTTATTATTTGTTATTAAGTTAAAATTCTAGTGGCGGCATGAAAGGTTTTCTATTAGCGAGATGAGAGAGTGAAATATAGGGGGAAATTATTAAGATTGGGACGTGAGATTTAATCGCAAAAAAGGTAGAATGAATCAAGTAAGTTGGTAAAAGTTATGTAGGGCCTTGGGTATGACATGCGATTAGTTATTATTGAGGAAATTTTTTTTTTTTTTTTTTTTAACAAAAGGTATAAAATAACCGCTGGAGATAAAAATAGGTACTACAAATTTTTTATGTAAACACAAATCAGATTTACACAAAAGAGATGCTCTAATATTCGTATATATGAATTCAAGAAGGGAAAAAAAAAAAAAAAGAGGGTAAATTACACTATTGTCCCATCGCAAGAGAAGGCGTACCTTAGAAGTATAACCGTCGCGGGTTTGAATCAAGTACGTAGTAAATAACTAATGAATCAGCCTACACTCATCTACTTTCATCTTTATGTTAATATTTGCGACTATATATAGGATTTGTTCAGTTATAAGGGTAAATAGTTGCATTAATATTCCATCAAGGATGCTTCTTTCCTAAATGTGGAATCATACTCAAAGATCCAGAAATTAAAGTTTCAAATATGGAAAGAATTTCTAAGGAAAATTAATTCTTATCAATGCTTCAAATCTACCGCTTCTCTTTTGACATGTAACCCTATGTTTTTTTTTCCTTCTCATATTTATTCTGTGGGTTTGTTTGGTTAGAGTCAAGTAACCAGAAAGGAAAAGAAAACGAAAATATTTTAATTTTTAAGAAGTTTGGTTAGAGGGAGAGGGAAAGTGAAAGTTTTGGGGAAAATACGATTCTGGCATCTGAAAATTTTTCCCAAAAATTTTTCGTGCATAAAACACAATAAAATTAACTTTCTCGCAAAAGTTGTGTACTTTACCTATTACTTTCCTATTATACCAATGTCAGTTGTCTCTCTTCATTCTTCTTCTCTGAATATCATTGAAAATATGAGTTTCATTCTTATATTATTTGTTTATACAATCATGTATTACTAATTTAATTATTTGATTTAATTATTTGTATTTTTATGTCATCCAAATTTAATTTATTTTTTCCTTTCGTTATTAATTTAATTTTTTTTTTCCGCCCGAAATGATTAAGAGTTGTTATATACGGAGTATATACATGTTGGGATTTATATGCCCTGGCATAGCAAATTCCTGTTTAGATTAAAGTGACATATGTTCCTGACGTTTATGAAATATTTATGTTTTATACAATTGGTGAATTCAATGTATTATATTTCAATTCATTATAGAATTGATAGTGTCCATTTGATTACAAGAGATATTTATATATATGTTTGTAATGGCAATCAATGCATGATATATAAATAGTAATCATAAATGGTTCATAGTCGGTAAGTATGGATGGACTCATAATTAATTAAGATTTGAACTTGATCCGCGTTAGGTTGAGATATATTGCGAGAGCCGTCATATGCAATTACTCCCTATCACTGTCATGGCATTTGACTCTTAAGTATGAGAAAATTATAGACTCTTTTATTAATTAATAATTACTTTGATTTGTTCGGCGGATTCTTCGGAATCCCTAGACCGACACTTTGGGTAGTTATGTAATTAATAGTTAGATGGTTATATTTTCAATATTTGCATCATTATTACTTGTATTTATTTTGTATTGATTATGGTTGATCACAAAGTAAATTCGAAGGCCTTCGTGTATTTTTAGACAAAATGATTTATTATATATTTATTTATTTAAATTATTATTTTTGTTAAACAAATATTTTACTATGATCAAGCCAGAAATAATCAGAGGTATCAAAATAAATATATTAATTAAGTAGTCGGATTGATGGCTTAATTTATCCGATAACTAATTATGCATAGAGGGGTCAAAGTACAATATTGACTTAGAGGTTATTTATTATTTAATTGGAGTTCAATTAATTTCTTTTAGTGGAGTAGAAATTAATTTATGAATTAATTGAATTGGGTCCATGGACCGGGCCAATTATTAATTCATTGTAGCCAATAAAATAATAGGCCCAATGGATTCTCACTCATAGCCCAACTTGATATTGGAATCATATTAGATTTGAGACATGTGAATTAGAGATTGAGAAGG